GCTAGAAACACTTGCATTTTTGGTAAAAATAAGTGGAATTGAGTGGGTGTTCGATAGTGGTCGCGCTATTAGAACTCTGAATTCAAAAATCGATATCTCGAAACCTATTAGAAATAATAGATTGTAGTTTTTTCAAGAACTTTGTTAATATTTCTGCTGTATTTTCTTTGTAGAAAGTATGGGAAAATCTTTATCAATTAAAAAATTATACGATTGCTGAAAATTGCTATGCTCTCAAAGTAAATGGATGGGTTGTTTACAATTTTTCAATGGAAAAAACAACCCTATCGAATTTTTCTGATGTAAACATATTGTAAAATATCCGATTTTGAAAATAAAAAAAAGTTTCAATATCTAAAGTGGTTCTTGAGTTATGGCCTGTTATGTGTTAAAAAGATTTTATCTAGTTATCTCTTGAAAAAAAAATCTTTTAAAAATAAGCGGTTTGCGATCGTTATTTTACTTTACTTGATAGGGAAAGGCATACCGGCAACGCCACAACAGCACACCGTCGCATTTCTCTCACTCCATCTTAATAATATCCCTATGCGATTTACTTCCACACGTGTAAATGCCGACCCAAAAGTAACAGTTGCCAGCACGGTATACACATTGCATGAAACGATTTATTGTATAATAAACAAGAAATAATCACAGAAAAATCTTTGTCAAGAAAAAAGCCAAGCAAATTGGGATAAACAGTATTTTTACGGTTAAAATCCCACTTCTGGTGTCGGATATTAGATTAAAATATTAATAATCTGTCAGTTCATGAAATAATGATTGTTTATGACACTTGGATTTGTCTATACTTATAATATATTTTAGAGATATGACCCTCATTTCTTAATTTTTTATTCAACGACAGATACTCACCACTATGGGTCCTCTATAGTTCGTGACGTCCAACCATTCGTACCATTCTCTCAAGCACGCGCTAAGCACTCGCCTAGTGAGCGGCGCGGTACTTTCATCGGTGAGGTGCGTAACTAATGCCCACATGGGGTAAGCACTAGCCTCCAGCTCAGCGCTAAAAGCTGCGTAGTACGTGTTCGGTTCGAATTCGATGTGTTCGTTCAGTTCTCTTTGGTTCACGTTCATACCTGCATAAAAATAAGAATAATGATTAATACTATAGATTAAACCGAGAGTTAGGACGAAAAACGGATAATTAAACAAAGTGTTTATTAATTATAAAAAGAATATAAAATTGCCAGAGTAACAAAAATTTCGAAATGAGACTATAATAATAAAATTATTAGTTCGGAAGTAGTTAATTAAAAAGTAGTTTACCTGATTAACTACATGTAGTTTTTCTTCAAAAACTACGTCTTTTTCCGTTCATTAACTACATGAAAACTAGTAGTGGGAACTATCGAATGAATACTATCGAAACATTCGATAGTTGCAATTCATTCGAATAATTCGATAGTAAGAAAACATTCGTTGAAAACGATTCGAATAAAAATTATCGAATAGATCCGTCATCTGCCTTGAAATATTGTATTCTAGTAATTCGGCAGCAAAAACCATTCATTTATAAAATTCATTCATTTATGAAATTCATTTATTCGTCAGGATCGATTATAATAAAATATTAACTGAATTTTAGTTGTCGCCCGGCGACGTAGGTTTCTTTCCGAGAAACCCGACAGCAGTCGGTGGCAATGCTATGAAAGAAGCCGGCATCTTTGATTTTTTGCGGAGTCAGATATAGATAAGGACACATTATTTTTTTTATTGAGGTGCTAGTATTTACACAGAAAATACATTATGAAGGGCGCTGTTGCCATATTTTGGCATTAGTTGATATTAGCAAAGAATATTATTGTTTGGCTTTAGTTAGTTAGGGATAGTATGTCTATATATTCTGCATTTTTTTTTATTAATATTCTGTTGTTACACTGCAATAATACTTGTTATTTTGGATGTAAGAACATGAAAGTGATTTTTAATGTTTTTAAGCAAAGACTGGTTTAATAAATAATAATAACAGTAATAATTTGTTATACCTATTAACAACAAAATTTAAAATGATTTAATATCAATATTTTTTTAAGTAGTAGCAAAATATAAACAACAAATTAGATGTCAAAATTATTTATATTAGATCCTATTTAAAAATAATATAGTCTTTAAATTTTTTGGCAACGTTGGTTTGTTAAATAATAATAATTACAGAACTAATTTGTTATATTAACAACAAATTTTAAAATCATGAAATATAAACATTTATTAATTTTCTAAGCATGCAGTGTAATGGAACGAAAATATAAATAAAAAATTAGAAATCAAAATTATTTATATTAGGTGCTTTATATCTCTATTTAAAAATTATATTAATTAATTATATTACTTTTACTGGCATTTACTTTAAAAAATAAATGAAATATTTCTTCGCAAAAAACTACATGTAAGAGAATTAGCATAAACAAAATACAAACATCGTTAACTTTTTTTTAAAATTGGCACGTGTAAAACTTTCAATTTAATTTTCTCACCCCATAGTTTGAGTTCGATAACCCCCCATTTACTTAACCACATTACTTAAATATGATTATTAAGTTCAACTAATTCATATTATTAAAACATCTAAAATACAAATATGTATTTTTAAAATTAATTGTAAGTTCATCTCATCTCTCTTAAAAATTGCTACTTCTCAAAATTTCCCATTAAAAAATAGACCATATACCATATAAAATTAAATAACTGAAAGATCGGACTACGGAAAACAACACAAATTTTCGGAAAAATTTTGACCACCTGCACATGCACACAATCGTCAATAAATAAAATTAAAAAATAACTACTATTTTAGTATTTTAACTATTTTAATAAATGCAAAAATAGCACAGTATTTATACGGCGAAGTTATAAAAATTTGGAAGAACTAATAATGCACTGGCGCATACAAAAATCAAACGAATACTAAATTTCATTTATCAAAAGCATTCGATAGTCGTGGCTCAACGATAACCATTTAGTCGCACGGCGAGGTTGTCACATATGCTTTAGTATACAAATGAATGAATGATTTTATTCGAATAAAACCATTCGATAGTTGAAATCATTCATTCATTAACCATTCGATAGTCTAATTCATTCGATAGTTCCCATCGCTAATGTGAATGGTTATATTTAAAGCCATATTTCCTCTGTTTTCTTAAATACATTATATGTTTTTTAAAGCTTCAACTTATTATCACCTCACCTCAAATCTTTGACATTTGAAAGTTACATACATATGTTACATAAACTACACCGTTTAGTACATAAACTACATGTTTATACTCTGTTTTTTTTCTTAGGTAAGATTTCGACAGACGATGACAGAAGAAAAGCAGATGACGTCCCATACCAATCTATTTATTTTATTAAAAAAAGTTTCTAATAATTTTTAAGTTATCTATGGATGGGTTTAAATATAAATCCATCATGCGTTGTGTCTTGTTGTTTTTAACCAGTTTTATTGGTTTATTTAAAAAATGACAGATCTTATTTCAATTTTATTGGTTTGACGGAACGATGAACGATAAACGGACGCCGATGCGTATGAACTCGCCTTTAGATTTTTGTCATTTTTTGACGCTTGTCAAAGTCTTGCCAAATTATAGGTTATAATTTTGTGTCAACTTTTGTTAAATACCCTGTGTTTTGGAAGATGATGCATTTTGATTCGTTGATTATTACGTGTGTTTTGTGTCTTTTGAAGTCAAGTGGAGGAAAATCAGTGAAAATTAACTGTAGACCCAGAGCACAGTTTATGGTTAATACTCGCTACCCAGGCAGAAAATGTCTTATACACCAATGAAGTTGCCATCGTTAAAGTTTGTATACCATCTCGTCGTAGATAAGTGCATCTCGTATATGGTAGAAGGACCAAACTAAACACATACTAAAAACTGGAGTAGCTGTAAAACTTTCTATATCGACATCATACGATAGGTAAATAATGGATTTTAGTACTGCAGAAAAATAATGTCAAAAGGTACTGGTTTAAAAAATTAAGATTAAAGTTAATTAATCAACCTTTAAGGTATAAAATTTGGTAGGTGCTATTATTAATAAAATAGTTTGTTTTATTTATCTATGTTGTTTTATTTATTCCTGGAATATTACAAATTTGTATTTGTACATAAGTTATATTGATAAATATAATCATAAATGCTTGAGTAGTTTCATAAAGCTTGAAAGTAAAAATAGTTCTTTTATATTTTTTTTGGTATGTAGTGTCTTGTTCTTGTTTGTTTTGTATTAACACATACCGGTTTTATTAAATAAAATAACTCGATTACATTTTTTCAGTTTTTATACAGTTTTTTTCACAATATTTTGAAGTAATCACTTGTCATCTTGTCAATCAAATTTTAAATATTTCCTGCTATGCGTTCCAGTTGTACCAACTTATTTCTTTGTAAAATAAAATAAACTACTTTGAAATTAAAATGACAGACACATCTATCATTGTCAAGGATCTTCTCGTTGGACAGACTATAGTTTTTAAAAGTAACATGTAGTTTTCCGAACCTTGCCTACAACTTACCTTGAAACATGGCTAAAAAGGCAAACCACATCTGCAACAGCGTGTCGTCGGCCATGAATTTCAAGGCCACGGGCCTGTGAGAGAGCACGTTGTTGAGGTCCGACACCAGAGGCCAATAGCAGTGGTCCTTCATGACAGGTTTGGCGCAGTCCACCACGTAGTGACAGTTCTCGTTGGCATAGTGCAGGGTGTTCTGTATGAGTATCTTGCTCATCATGCTCTTCAAGCTGACCACCATGACGTGCAAGAGGTTGAGCTGCTCGGTCATGCGCAGCGCCAGGCTCTCGTTGCTGAACAGTTGGACGCTGACGTGCACCACCCTGTTACTTAACGTGTCGGGATCGGCACTATTCTCGAGCATGATGCTGATTCGGCTGTAGTGCAGCACGAACGCGCGCGTCAATGCTTCCTTGTAGTCCTGATCCGGCAACATGTTAAGTAGCAGACACACCACCTGCAGAAAGAAGCATTTTTTACTATAAAATGTATACAGGGTTGTTCACCACATACGACACGGAGTATTGTAGCTAAACGATGGGATTTTTACAAATTTTAAGTTTTGGGTTCGTTGAAGGACTATTAGAGCTACAATTTAAAAATATTTTTACAAGATACAGAGTGTCCCAAATAAATAAAAAATATCAAAATTGCATTTTTTTTTAAATGGAACACCCTGTATATTATTGCATTTTTAGTTTCTACGATTAAAATAAAGGTAAATTTGATTAAGGTTTATTATATTTAAACCTTACCGTTTTTGAAATATTTTCAATTTTGTGAAATTGCAGTAAAAATTTTAGGCTTCATTTCTCCAGGGGTATCAAAGTTTTTAATACTAAATATTTACTGAAGTTTATTTATTGTTCAGTTATTGTGTTGCAATAATAAAAATTATACCACCTTACACAGAGTGTCTAAAGATTTATTTTAAATAATTATTAGCTTCAAACGGCAAAAACTTGTTTAATTTAAATGGAACACCCTGTATATTTTACGAGAATCAGATGCACAATTAAATTGTCTATCAAATTATGTTATACCATTTTTTACCTATCTCTTTAAGTTTCTTGTAATTAAAATGCATTTTCTTGTAATTTAGGACTTATTTATCAATATACCTATGGAATATTGACATTTTAGATTATTTTTAAAGATGTACCAAATTTTTAAAGAGTACAGATACTAATATTGTCGATATAATTTGTTTATTTCATTAAAAATTAAAAAAAAACTGTTTAAATATTTGTTAAAGAGGATCAATTAATATCATTCCAGTATTCAAACTACATTAACTGACTGTTTGCGTTGATTAATAATAATTACTCCAAATACTAGAAAACTGAATTTTGTATGGGTATTAGACAGTGTGATAAAAAGTAACACCTTAAAAATGATATTTCATTTTTTAATAAATGTTTATTTACAACCACAGAGACTTTAATTTCGATAACTTATTATTATATTTATTTCTGACTCAAATCCATATTTATTTAGAATAATTTATTAACGAACACACAATTAAGTATGTAATTAATTAGTATATGGGCGGAAATAATGGTGTTATATTTAATTAATGGTATACTCTTTTATAAAGATTTAAATAGTTTTCTTTTTGCATACAAATGGGCTAGTAATATTATCGCTTTGCTAAAAACGATAATATTACTAGCCTGTACATTTTGTACATTTGTTGCTTTAAAAACAATCTAAAATGTCAATATTCCATGGGTATATTGATAAATGAGGTCTAAATTATAAGAAAATGCATTTTCTACGAAAACTTGAAGGGATAGGTAAAAAATGGTATAATACAATTTGATAGACAATTAAATTTTGTATCCGATTCTCCTAAAATATACAGGGTGTTCTATTTAAATTAAAGAAGTTAATGGCGTTTAAAGCTAGAAATTATTTAAAATAAATTTTTAGACACTCTGTATAAGGTAGTATTATTTTTATTATTGCAACACAATAACTGATCAATAAATAAACTTCAGTAAATATTTAGTATTAAAACTTTGATACCCTTGGAGAAATGAAACCTTAAAATTTTTACTGCAATTTCACAAAATTGAAAATATTTCAAAAACGGTAAGGTTTAAGTATAATAAACCTTAATCAAATTTACCTTTATTTTAATCGTAGAAACTAAAAATGTAATAATATACAGGGTGTTCCATTTAAAAAAATACAACTTTGATATTTTTTACTTAAAATTATTTTTAAATTGTACCTCTAATAGTCCTTCATCGAACCCAAAACTTGAAATTTGTAAAAATTTAATCGTTTAGCTACAATACTCCGTGTCGTATGTGGTGAACAACCCTGTATACTATAACTCTGTTACAATTTTTCGATAAACCTACTCCTTAAAAAATTATTCACGATTAAAATTAACCACTCGGTAAATTCCTAAATTCTTCAACTTTTTTGACAAAATTAAAATTATTTTTGAAAAATTTAATCTATTACTGTAAAATGTATAATTCTGATGGTGTTCAGGTTGGGAATTAAGAAATCTTCAAGTCTAATCAAGTTTAAATCATTTAAGCTGATTTATTTTAATAAACATTGTTTTTAACAGTTGCTATGGAACAAATTTTAACAGTTGCTATGGAAACAAGTAAATATTGTCTACGTTTATGGCCAATTTTATTTTCATTTTGCGACCAACTTACTACTAGCAATTGTACCAACTTATTTCCTTGTAAAATAAAATATAAACAACTCCAAATTAAAATGACAGACTATACTATACCTTTTGGGGAAATTCGAACTTGACAGTCCAAAACACTAGCTCCTCCAAAAAGGTTTTATGCACCAGATTTTCTTGCAATGGCGCACAGTCTTTCAGCTCTTCGCAGGGCTCGGGATTGGGCAGCGACTTCAGCGCCTCCTCGTATATCCTTTTCAGTTCCAAAAAATACTGGGCATATTCAGTTTCTATACTATCCGGAATCTCATTCAAACTCTTGTATTTCTACAAAGAAAAAATAAAGATGAAGTACTTGACAGAAAATTACTCAATAACCACGGTACAGAGAAAAAAACGGCGTCAAAAGCGGCTGCGGAATGACACACTGTTGCAGATGTGGATTGCCAAAATTCCCATCGATTGTCATTCCCCAACCGTCTCTGACGCCGTTTTTTTTTCGATCGTATGGTTTTTTCAAGCTTACGGTTGGATTGGTTAGAGCTGTGGTCATGACCCTCCTCATCAAGCCTCCCATGTTGTTGAAGTCCAACAGCATGCTGATGAAGGAATCGGCTTGCTGAATGGCGCCCTTGTGCATGTCTGGCGAATTCTCTTTGCTGTTTTCTCTCAGATGTTGGATGAGCCTCAGAATGATACGGGGCATCATGGCCTCTGCCACGCACATGAGATCGCTTGGGGCGTTGCCTTTGCTGGAGGTTTTGTTTGGCCCGTGTCTATCGCAAAACCTGGAATAGATTAGATAGATAGATAATTTATTTGTCCAAAAACTCTACAAGAAATATTCAAAAAGTGCAATTTTGAGAAACACCTCACTGTAGTATTGGGATACCATACCATAACATGATACACCGATGCTTCCAAAATCAAAGCATTAAAATATGCGTACAACTTATCTTAGCTTGAGAGCCTGAGGAAGTATCTCTCTCTCTCTCTCTCTCTCGTAAGTAGATTAGGTGTGTAAAATATTATATATATTTTTTACTTCATAATTATGATTTTCCCTTGTTTTAAAAATAACGCCACAATTTTTTGGCGCCCAACGTGGGTCTCTCTCTTTTTTTTGACAATTTAACGAATAACCAACCGTCTGTTCAACGTCACGTCATCATTATTTATCAAATACGCCTTTTAGGGTGTGTCTGAGATCAGTTCATATTGTTTAGAAAATATTAAGTACGTTCTGAAATTATTAATTGAGTGAGCTCCTATTTTATTAAATTCCTGTAGGTATGTTAGGCCTTTATTTATTTTGATTGTTTTTCAATTTATAATTTTAGGAGCATAGCGGGTGCGTCTCAAAAGTGGCTCACCCTTATAACTTTTTTATTTTTTCAGATAAAAAAAACCAGATTTGGTATGTTAGTATATGACATAAATTAGGATTGATTGACGTATTCAATTGTTTTCGGTCACTTTCTCTTTCACCGGAAATGGCTACAACTTTTGATTTTTAAATGGCACCCTCGCTATTTTTTCTACTTTATTCAATAGAAAATGACACTCCGAATCGAATGACATCATATGTCAATTTTTTACATATTCGCTCAAAAAAAAATTGTATTTTAAATTTTTGAGTGCCATGGCTGTGTTAAAAACACTAATTTTTAAGCAAGGAGCCTTGGAAAAATAAATTTGATCGTCTAATGTTTTTAGTGTCTTGTCCTGGCCGGTTAAAAGATGCCCAAATCGTATTTTTAATCATATCTCAATTTTTTCAAATGGAACGAGGGTAGCTCATTAGCACATTTGGAAAAAGCATTTTTTTACGAATAATTTGATACCACACACTTGGCATTTCGAGTCAAATTGTCGTTATGATGTTACAATTTCAAATAAACCATATGCGAAAATGTCAAAACTTGACATATGATATAAATACCGAAGGTGCCATGTAAAAACCAAAAATTGTGTTCATTTCCGGTGAAACCAATCTAGCAAGTAGATTGGGTATGTAAAATATTGGATATTTTTTTACTTCATATTATGATAAGTTTTTTTCCTTTCTTAAAAAAAGCCACAATCTTTTGGCGCCCAACGTGGGTCTCTTTTTTTTACCGACTTCATATTAGAAAAGAACATCAGAAACGATCAGACGAACATCAGACAACTATCGACTTATACTAGGTCGATACAAGATCGAACATCTATCTTATTGAATCCGAGTGCATCCCTAATAGTATCTATCTTTAACGTCTATGACGGGTAAGCGATGTTTTGTTTTACATAATAATTTCGATGCGGCCTCACTTACGCTTTAATTACTTAGAAAAATGGAATGGAGGAGAGATGCAATTACCTGTTGGGCACGGTTCAGCTGTCACCGCGGTTACTGCGATGGTGAAATTGTTGCCTTTTCATAAAAGAACCACCGAGAACCGCCGTCCAAAAGGAATATTTAATGAGTGCGACTCGAAACAGGTAATTTAGAATATCAAACAAGGTACTTTTAGTACGTTTAGTTTAAAATATACTGGGCGATCTGAACTGTAGAATATCAGAGGAAATAGAGCTAACTGTGTCCCCCTTTCTTTAGTTTTAGTAGGTACGTTTTTTGGCATTGTCCAGTATTGAGCCTTTAACTAGTTCTGAGCTCGGGGTTGGCAGATAAAGATCGTGCTCCGCATTCCTAAGTGGATAGTTGTAAGATGGCCTTTTCGGAATAGCACATATGTGCTTGCGGATTAAGCAAACGGATTTAAAAATGAATAAGGAAGAGTCAGTATTTCGATTTTTTTAAAGAAATTCTCGCAGTGAGTTCTAGTGATCAGTCCCAATAAATATCGAACTGCTCTCTTTTGAAGTTTGAAAATACGATCAAATTTTGTCGCGCAGCAAGTACCCCAGAATAGTAATAATGTTTATTTGTATACATAATAAATTAAATTATAACAATAAATCTACAATAAACATAAACATAAATAAGCATCAGAAAAAAAAAATATCTTTTTTGTGAGAGGCATATGAAAGAATGGAAGACAGAAATTTGCTGACAACTATATATTGGGACAGCACAACAAGAAATTTGTTTAATACGGAGTTACCTACGAAATCACCTTTCGCCTTAACAACTGCCTGAACTCTTAATGGCATTGTATTTACCAAAGATTGGCACATTTGAGGAGAAAAATTCCAAATTTCCTGCAGTTTTGTCCGAAAATCAAAAATTGTTCGTTGAGGGGGGTTTCTTAAATATTGCTTCATTTTATGCCACACAGTTTCTATAACATTGAGGTCCGGACTACTTGCAGGATGGGATAGAACTTTTATATTATTATTACCGAAACAATTTTTAGTTGATTTCGCTGAATGGCACGATGCTCCATCTTGTTGGAAAATATAGTCTTCGTTTGGAAACAATTCTTGAGCACTAGGCAAAAGTGAGGTCTCAAGTATGTGTTGATATTTTTGGGCGTTAACAGTACCATCTATAAAATTTAATTTGCCCAAACCTCTTGCTGACATGCAACCCCAAACGATAATCCCCTTAGGAAATTTAACAACCCTCTTTAAGCAATCTTTATGAAAGGCTTCTGCTTTATTTCGTATTATTCGTTTTCGATGATCTCCAACGCAAACATCAAATTTAGACTCATCGCTAAATATGACCTTATTCCAATCATTTTGTGTCCACGATAATTTAGATTTTGCCCAATTGTAGCGATTTTTCTTTTGAATTTCTCTCAGTAGCGGTTTTTCTTTGGCCTAAATAAGAATTTGTATCAATAATCTTCAGGTAATTGATTATCACACAAAATAAAGTTTACCTTGTAAAACCCCAGACCGCATTTATGGATATATTTTCGGCAACATTCTCTTGATATATTTAAACCAGTTACAGTATTCCATTTAACTGTTACTTCGCGAAGAGTACTTCTTCTCGCAGACTTGCAAATTTTTACTAAATTTCGTAAATCTCTCGGAGATACAACTTTTGGCCTTCCCGAACTTTTACATCTAACGTCTACGTTGGCAGATTCGCCGTATTTTTTTATTAGATTAAAGACCGTGGTTTTTGGAATACTTAAATCATCAGAAATTTTTCGAATTGTTTTTCCCGTACTGTATTGACGAATGATAATTTCGCGTAGTTTTTGATTTGTAGCTTTTCCACGGACTATTACTTTGGATTAAATTAACAAAATTGAAAATTAAAAAAATTAAAATTTCTTACAGTAAATCTCACTACTCAAAGTATCGAGTCACTTACAAGCTGTCAATGCCGAAGTAAACAGTTTGCGACATTTGTGACGTTTATAGCAAAGCCGCCTATGATGATATTAATTATTTAAAAATACTTGTCCCAACATTTAATTGTCAGCAAATTTGTCCTTTTATGAACAAAATCCGCTACTGTAAATATGGACTGATTTACAAATTCATAAAAATATTGTCAAGTTGTTTAGGATATATGGCTATGTTTATATTTAAAAAATTAAACATATATTTTTCAGTCATTTTGAAAAACCAGGGCAATAATTCCAAAATATGACCTTGTCCCAACATATAGTTGTTAGGGCTCGTCTTAATTGACTATTAATGAGACTACATACCCCGTTTCTTTCATGACAGATGTGTCGCCGCAATCGCAAGCGCCTCCCGCCTGTGACAGGAACATGTTGAAGTCGTGCCGGTGGTGGTTCCCCTTTTTGAAACACTCGGTACAGAGGGACATACAGGGCGATATGCCGCAGGTGCGGCACCGGTACGCTACGAAATTGGGCGTCCATACCAAGCCGCAGGTCGTGGCGTTGTCGTAGGCTCGTACTGAAACAAAAAAAAAATGAAAATTTATCATATTTCGTAAAGGCACAAAATAAAATATAGGCGATACCAATTAAAGTTTTAGTTACGTAATCGAGGGCGCGATTTTTAAATTCATTGTTGCCAACCATGGACTGGAATTTAAATTTCCCGCTGGGGATTCAGGTGGTAACTCTGCTGTAAAAAAGGTCAAGTTGTCACTAATTTATTTTTGTTGCCTAATATACTTTGTGTAAAACTTGGAAAATAAATTTGTTATAATAATGCTTTTATTTATTCACTAAGTATATATTCTAATAAAGAATATGCTTTCCTTCAGAAACTCTCTATTTATTTATCTAGTAATGCTAAAACACTCTATTTGAAAGTCGATTAGAGAAAAGAGTATGATTCATTGGCAAGCGATGTGAATATTTGTGATCAGGTAAAATTGTGATGCAAGAGGAGGCTTAGCTTGCCGGCGCGCGGCAGGTCAGTCAGTAGTTGATACAGGTGGATGACACTTCTTATGGGAGAACTGGCAATGGTTGAAAACTTGACTACAAGCGATTTTCTAGGAATCTTCCTTACCGATAAATTATTGACAAGAGTGACAGATAAAACCTTGACATTCTTTCAGTATAACAGTTCATCTCTTTTTCTTTCTAAAGTGTGCGTTGAAAGGAGACAAAAACAATTTTTGGTGACCCATAATTTGTTATTCGAACACCACTTTTCTCCTTGTCGGGTCGTTGACGTTGACTTGTCGCCATTTTATTTCTTTTGTTTACACGCTGCAGTTTGCTTTGTAAATTTAATACATACATGATTTAGGCAAATATAGGTTTTTGATAAAACTCTTTGGACTAACGTGTAGGTAAGTGTTGATAAATAAGTTTTTTTCATCTTAACATGCTCATTGTCATTCTCCTGATTTAGGTGACAGAAAAGGATCATCAAATCAAATTGAATTTTATATTTCTTCATCCCAGGACCGATGATACCTTCCTAAATATCAACGAGATGAGCCATCGGAAGAAAGGGACCATAGTACAAAACAGAAAGGTGATCTTTTTTCTTTCCACTTAGGATATTGAAATTATTATATACTGTAGTCACAGTGTTCGGTATTATGCTCTGAGAAATATAGATAAACAAAGAACAACAGATATAAAGCATCCCAGAGGAAAAGAGAGGCAATACCTGTACTCTCTCTCTGATATTTGTGAAAGTTACGGCAAAGTATTGTTGTAAATGTCATCTTTTTAATCGACCTGAAAACTTCGAGCAAAAGATGACACTTTCAAATACCCTGACAGATATCAGAGACGATACAAGTTTTTCCTCTCTTTTCCCCTGGAATACTTTTAATTTATTATTCTTTGTTTATCTAGATTTCTAAGAGCACTATGAACGAACTCAGCTTGTATGTTTGAAATAATCGTCCAGTTGGCTTAAAAATGATGATCGATGACATTTCCTATTATAATTTTACTTTCAAAATTATGATATATATATCTTCATTTCTAAGCCATCTATGACGCCATTTTTTTCAGTTTTGTTATAATTAATTTTGTCTCTTGATATACTTGTAACATTATTCTTGTAATTTTATTAATTTATTTTGGTGAAATTCATTTCTGTTGTATATTTGATATTGATATTAAACATATTTTTAAAAAATGGTGTATTTTTTGTGTTTTTATCTATGTCATAATTAAAAATAAATGAAGAATTAAAATTTTTATTTTTAAACTTCCCGCCATGCGTGACAATCTAGTCCGTAGTTCCTACAAGCGATATTGGGGGCGCTAGTAGCAGTAGACTTGTCAACAGTGTCAAATTTAAACGTCAATTTCACTTTCCAATATTTAGCAAGGCGCTCGCACTTCTCCTTGTGTATGTGTTTTGTGAGTTGATAGGCCGGCCGGCCGTGTAGTGTTGTGTTTTGTCACAGAGCTGACAAATGTGGGTTGCGAGTCTTTTGACTAACATAGTTGCAAGTCGTTTGACTGTAAGCCAACGGGGTCGTTTGACCACAGGAAGAAAACCTCTTGTGACGTCCTGCCTTCGAGATGGTCTTGAGAGTTTGAGGTCTCCATAATGTCTTCTCGATTGACGATGCGGCGCACGGTGGGGTATTAGCATGAAAAAGGTGATCGAAACTCGAAAAAGCAAATGTGTTTAAGATTTCCCCAAAAAAGATAAATGATAAGTTAAATCATCTCTGCCATGAATGGCGTTGCTATGGGTGTGTTTAGTTACATTTATTTGTTTCAACGAAACGTCAAAGTTGTTACTTCTCACAGATAAGAGGTAAATGGCTAAATTTTATGTTTAAAATTATAAATTGTTGTTGTTCTTGTGCTCTTTTTACGTTGATATTATTATTTTGATTGAAAATGGCTCAGCAAGCTGCAGGTATGTATTCTACAAAAGCGTATTATTTATTTTGATATTCTCTATACTAACGATTTTTTTTGCAACTAAAAGTTAGGCGTTCAGAAAATTTGATTAAATTTGTGACATTTTCATTATACTTAGAGATTTAGTTGCGCATTTCGAAGAATTCAGCATATTGTCTATATACGTTTTACTTAGTAAACATTGGGCTTTCATACAGTAAAATAAAATACTGCGACTTTTTGCGATTTTGCTGATAAAATGAGAAAAACATTCTTGGTTTCCTCTAATTTGCCAATCAGTGATATACTAATGCGAGATGTAAACCGCGATGGCATTGTTGTGTACAAAGCGATCGCATTAGTGCCATTAGCAGTATAGCACAATTTGGCATTAGTAGCGACTTTAGTGGTATGGGCATTGCTCGCGGATCAGTCGTAGCATTAGTAGTAGTAGTTGCGATATTACTACTGGCACTGACCGTGGAAACACTGGAACAGTGATTTTTCTTTCTTTTTTTAGAATCGACGAATTATCCTTTATTTTGTTCATATTATTTCCTCTTTAATTGAAAATAGCAATAATTTATATAAGGTCTACATAAAAAAATTTCGATCAACTATCAGTGTCAAATACCCCACTGTGCGGCGTTGGGATAGTGAGCTACCCAATTAGCTTATTCGATTGGGATGCGAATCTGTTTAGCGGCAGAATTGCGTCCGGGGGAAGCCCCTATACCATTCCAAACCAAACCAAACCAATAGATCCGAATAATATATGAATTAGATGGAAGATATGGAATGGGATATATTGAAAAGAATATCAGTGATGTCAGTGGCTAGGGGGCGGAGTACCTCCGGGTGAGTCTTACTATTTAACTATCAATTTTATCCAGATCAGTAAATGTTTGTTTTGTTATTATCATGTACAATGAGAGAGTGCTTGCCAATGACCAACTAAATGGATATTTGAGGTGAATTTGCATTGTGAGACCCGGTTGAGTATCTAAGCCCCAAAAATAGCGATTTTACATTTGATTAAAAGAAAATATGTAAAAGTGGGAAAAGCCGTGTCGGTCAAGCTTAATCACGTGACGAGAGTTTATTTAGTATGATCTATATACAGGGTGTCCCAGAAATAAGTGCAAGTATTTTAACCGGTAGTATAGTTCAACCCCAGAAACACGATTATGACGTTTTTTCGCGAAAAAAATTTTTTAAGTAAATAAAAATAATAAAAAAAAATACAATGTGCAAAATGGCATTTTTCTTCTCTTTTGTGATCCAAAGCCGAAATAATTAGGTACTTCTTTTGCCTGGAACACTTTTAATTAGTGCGTACCGGCAACCGGTCGGAATTATACTTAATTACATAACACGAGAGCGGTAGCGGTGGCTACCAGCTGGAATAAATTGGCAGCCAGTGCTTGTGACGACGCTGACGGTACTGCCCTTCAGAACGTCCGATCATAAACGGAAAGAAGGTATTTTTCTGCTAGCAACCGACGCAGTTTGTTTTCTTACATCAATATAAAATAAAACAATACAATATACTAAAATTGAAAATCTAGTTATTTCAATGATCTAACAACCTTTTCTAGGCTCAACTTTCGTTTAGCTGAAATCTGTTATACAAAAAATGACTATATATGCGTTCTAGAAGGCGTTAGGAGTACAAATGTACAAAAATTTTCCTACGGAAATGCGTCATTTTCATTTTTCGGACTTTAGTATAGCCGAAATCTGTTATATCAAAACTAGTCTTCGGGGTGTGATGTAGCGTTTTTTTTTAAACAACTACCACTGCGAACGGCAGCTTTTCATCGGAGAGCAGTCGTGGATAAGGTATTTCACTAGAGAGAAAACTAATCAATAACAATAAACAAAAAAAATATAGATATTGGGCGCCAAGCATGTACAGAGAAAGAAAACACAGTTGTGTATTACTTAAAACTAATGACTATATTTATTCATGATGGACTGTGATGGTAAATAGCATTGTACAATTTTAATAATTATTATAGTGGTTATATGTCAAAAAAAATGGTGTTAAGAGTTGTACTAAATATCTATGAAAGTAATACCATTATAAGACGTAATGTAATGAAACCTAAGATCTAAATCATATTTTAAATATTAAATCGACATGAATGTTCTTAACAATCTAACCACTAAACATAGTCTGTACGATATTACTTAAGATGTACGTTACTGTTTAAGACTGAAAATGTTTTAGATGTTAAATGTAAAACTAGAACTTAGATAGATAGATAGATAGATAGATATTTCTTTATTTATTTCCAATGTTTACAATAAAAACACATAAAATAGCCCAAACAGGCATGGAAACATTGTCAAATAAGAATATTTCACACCAAAATAATATAATTACAGTTAAGATAATACTACAATTAAACTAAGATCTTAACTAAGTAAAATAAGCAAATACATAGAAGAATAAAAAACGATAGAATTAATATATACAAACAACAAATATTACACATTAGATATCAGACTTATAAACACAGCTTTATCGGATCTGTAAAATTCTTCTAATGAATAAAAGGCTTTCTTTGCTAGAAAGATTTTTAATGTGGCTTTTAACTTGTTTCTTGCCAAACC